AAGCCCATCGATAGTAAGTAATAAAATTTGAACGGAAATACAATGGTATTATTAAGAGTTTTGACTAAGAGCAATAAAATTGGGAACTTTGAAGTAAATAAGTAAAAGAGCTTAAGGCTAAAACTCCTGTGGTGCAGAGATGGGGACTGAGCCCATAAATATTAGTAGCATGTATTTACCTATATTTGAGGGTGGTGCCATGTTGGGGTTCATAGGTCAACGGACAGACCTACGGACAAAGCGTAGGTGGTTGGTGATGGTAAATTATCCAATGAAATGCATTTTTATATCCGGGACCATGGATACCCACTGAGCACAAAATACCCTGTTTTAGTCAGAAAAGAGTATTCCCGGTTTTACTCTCAACTTATTACATCTCTTTGGCATTTTATTATTTTGGGAATCATTCTTTTGGACTTTTGTTTATCTATTTATTTGGAGTTCGGTCTTAAACTCTTTATATTTTGGACGGATCCTTTGGACATTTATATAAAAAGTGTATTGGTCTTTTCTGATCATATTCAGGAACGAATATTTCTAAAACTATACGATCACGGAAAAATTGTAAATTGGAATATTTAATAAACTTTTGAAATCGACAAAAGAGTTGTCATTGGCTTACATATGGCCAAAAATCTAGTAAGTTGAAAAGTGCTGAACTTCCCGAAAAAAATAAAGGAATCCCAATTTCCAGGCAATACACTTGGTATTTAGCTGCAGAACTGTAGCTCTCAAAAAAAAATATTTTGACAGACCGGAGAGCTACAGTGTCAAAACATTTTTTTTTAGAGAGTTACAGTTCTGCAACTATAGGTAATTTTCACATCTACACATTGTGTAAAATAAAGGAATCCTAATTTCTTTGTAATATGCACATTTACACATTGTGTCCTTAATATCTGCAAAGTTTGACCAAATTCTTTATGAGGAGGTTTATGAGGAGTTGGAAAAAAAAAACAGGACTGACTGACTGACACACTGACTGACGGACGGGTCAAAAACATACCTTACGCAAGCGCTTGCAATAAATGTTGTGTGATTCTTTTGGATTTCTAATTTCAAATATACCAAAACAAATGAACTGTTCCGACTCTTTATTTTGTTTTTGAAATTAAACAACTTGTACCTGCAGAATGACACTTTAATCAACAACAAAGTATTTCCTGTAATGTTTACCATCTAAATTATCTAAAATGAACATTTTGATCAGGTCTGGACGATTTCCAAATATATACATCATATACACGTTAATATTTTTCTATCCAATCAGACAGTAGTATTTTTACACACCCCAAAACATACTTCAAAAGAACAAAAAGAGAACACGTGCTTTTGTTTTTTTCTTCAAAAAAAGATTTTTTGACAAATTATCTTTAGAAGTAAGATGACAATTGCAATATACATCGCGATCGCGTCGATCACATGTAAACATTGATTCATCAGTGCATTACTTCTTAATAAACATTTGTACTAATGTTGAAACTAAACATAAATCTTCCAAGTTTTCATTAATTTAGCAATGATTTGTCCATTTGTAAGAAAGACTGTCAAAATATTTGTATTTTCTGTAAATATAAAAACAGGAGAGGTAACTCTGACAATCGATGTAAACAGGTAAAACGGGTACCATAGATTAGCTTCTGGCATTGGTTCTAATGGATTTGTTTTTAATATAGTTTTTATTATATCATTCTATGAATTATGTCACCCCAAAACTGCCATTTGTTGAATAAATATTTTGTAGAATTTACGATTTTCCTTCTTTGATTCATTCAAGCAGAGTGATTTGTCGTGGTTTTATAATCACATGAATTTAATGTTGACACTTTTCAAGACGAGTTTAATGTATTGAAGTGAAAAACCTTTAACTTCTTTATTAAATGCCACTATCTTAATCGACATATAAGTCAGTTAAAGCATTTAAGACTTTACAATTTGACGTGTACAAGATGAGTTTGTGAAACACGCGTCCTTATGTGTTAGCCAAATTCTGGGCTAAAGTTTCATATGAAGTCAAACTCCAAAGGTCATGGTCAAAATTTTCGGTATTCAAAGGAAGGTCTTGTCACATAGAATACAACTATGAAATACTTATGGTACTTATTGTTCAAAAGTTATGCCAAATGAAATTTTTTTATTTACAGTGGATCAAACTTTAAGGTCAAGGTCAAAAATACTTATACCCTTTGAAAGGTCGTGTCACAATGCATATACATGTGAAATTAGTCCGAAACATCTGATGTTTTCTAGGCTTTTTAACCTACGATTTTGATATTTTATATATGTGCCATGAAAAAGTCAAGGATAAACAAGGACAAGAGGACAGAAACGAAAAAAAACGACAAAAAATTAAGGAATTTATTCAATTTATTCGAAACCTGTTTACAGTCTGAAAAGGACAGATTCCCCGGTATAAGGGTCGACACCAAGACAGGGTCACACTGCAAATTTACCACCATTGTACAGCAGTCGGTAGCGGATAAAAGCCTTACGGTTGGCCAGATAACCTCGGACGCGGTGTGTCATAGTCCTAACGAGGTGTTCCAACTGAAGTCATTTTGGAAAAGTTACTCCATTCTTGTTGCGATAATGCAGCAAGTTCTTGGACACTGGCAGGATGTTGTTGACATTGCCTGTCCAAGCATATCCCAGACATGCTCAGTGGGGGAATTCAAAGTCCGGACTGAGTACGGACCATGGTAATGTTGTGATATTCTGCTGTTGGAGGTAACGATCCTGGCACTATGAAATCAGGCATAAATGTCATAAAAAAAGATAAGGCGGCCATTACGACGTGCAAACAGCACAACTTAGGGTGCGAAGATGTTGTCCCGGTAGTACTGCCATGTGACATGTCCAGCAACAATAATCGAGTCTGTTCTGCCGGCAACAGTTATGCCTCCTCACACCATAACAGATCCACCCCATGCCAATCACGACTAATGTCTTTAACGTCTTGGAAACGTTCGTTTTGTCGGCGCCAAACCCTCCTCTGTCTGTCCAGTAAGTCCACAGTAAACCTCGCCTCAACTGAGAACATTATTTGGTTTCATCTGCAATTATCTCAGCATTGATGGTGACAACACCATTAGAGACGGGCCCTAATGTGACGATCCCTCAAACAGGGAATGACACGATGACGGGCGTGTAAATGAAATCTGTGCAGTCGATTCCTGATAGTCTTGTCACTCATTGCCAAGCCAGTATCTAGGTCTTTGGAGTTGAGTCTTTATCTGATTTTCTGACATTACTAGCAATAGTTGGATGAATCTATCCTTAGCTTGTGTTGTTGCAATTGGTTGACCGAATTATAGTAGTGGTCTATTGATCCTAAACCGACATTGATAGCACGATGTCTGTTTTTATAACTGCTGATAACAGACTGGAAAATATTTATTGCCCTTGCCACATTGACCGGTCCTGCTTTCTCTTCAGAATTTTCTTTAGAGTGGTTCAACCTTCCAGTTTAAACGCTTGCAGATTTGTTGCACAATTAACAACTTTGATCATCAGTAGCATTCCGTGCAGATCTTGAGAGTGAGAGTGATGTGCTTGGGTGATGAATTTCTTTGGAAATGATTCATTGTTAAGGAACTTTACATCATGGTTTCGTATCCCTTTGTATATGTGAACATTTTGATCACAAACTATAATATCTACTACTTTTTTAATGGTATTTCTAATCTCAGCAAGATCCGTAGCTCTTAACTAACAATTTTAATCTGGAGTCTCTCCAAATCTCAGACCATTGTCACATAATCTCATTCGAGGTTTGCTGCCCAAACTTGAATAATGCTTATGGAAGTGAAATGGAAAGATTTAACCGTATATTTTTTTATATTTCATTTAAAGTTTCATGAAAATGGGATTTGAAGTGACAAACACGTTTTAGGTTATGAAGGATGGTTGGTGAGAGATACAATTTTGGACATCATAGAAGGTTAACAATTTTTTGATATTTTAGAAATTTATTATTAGCATCATGATCATTTTCAACAGAAGAATGTATACTAATTCATACAATATTTTTTGGTTTGTATCATCTTTCTTACCACTTTAAAACTTTCTTTTCGGAAAGGTTTAAATCCATCGAAATATAAAGATTTTCATAGCAATAAGCTATTCATTTAAACCTCCGAGTTCCATTAATTATCTGCTTCAAATACTTTATTTTGCTTTCGTTTTCCCATTATTTCATATAGAAAGAACCGTATATATAGACACCAAAACAAAACATTGAGTCTCTATGGATCTCGGTGAGATTAATAAGTATATTGAATGTATTAATTCTTTATGTTTCCACGGATATCATTTAGATTATATATATTTCCAGATAGTATTTTTTATGTTTACATAATTATATGCATTGAAAGATATTTATAGAATCGTTGAAAAGAATTTATTAAGCGCCCTAGTGCGTCTCCGATCATGTTGGCTTTTGACGTGTTCTATTGGGTATTTACGCTTAATTTTGTATTGACACGATTGATCTAGAAACGGGACTTGTGTGTTCCGTAAGATTTTTCCTGGAAGCAATTAGATGGGACGGTTCTGAGAATGAAACGTGGGGGAGATTTCTTCAATTCAAACCAATATAAAGAAATGAAGAATTACGAGAATCGTACATTTAGGTGTCATTAGCTGATCAACGCATGGTATATTTGAAGTGATATCGACAAGACAATTACCTGATCAAAGTATGGCGGATATTGAAGTGATATCGGAAAAACAATTAGCTGATCAAAGTATGGTGGATCATTCAGAGGCGGCCATCGACTCTTCAGTCAGCTGTAACGAATCAAAACAGAGACTAAATCAGTTTTATTCATTTTCTTGCAAGGATTTTATTGTCACCAGTTTTTCTGTGTCAATTTTTTGCGTTGATGTCCTTTTGGACATTTGGTTGGCCAAACACTATTACGACGATGGAAAGACATTTGAGTGCATTTTGACGGCATCTGTTGTTGTTGCTGCATTTTTAGTAACTGGAATCTTAAATGCGTTCTGGCTTTGGGATAATACTTCGGGACAAACCTGCCTAAATATCTGTTTAGTGATTTTGACGTTTCCATTTGCTACCATAGGGAGGTAGATTTGACTTAATGTCATTTGAAATGAGTATAGGGCTGGGGAGGAGAAATCATCTTCTTCTCATGATTACGCCCTTTTTACCTCCCCTTTTTATCCCTTTGAATTCCCTAATCGTACCTTCTATTAATTGTCATTTCTATTTAAAGTTATACAATTGTGATGAGGAAGGAAAAATACGGTCTTTAAAATCTATTACACCTTAATACATTGGACATATAAGCATATATGCTTTGAAAATTTCATCTAGTCAGAAACCAGAGAAAAATCCTATCTTAAATATCTAACTAGAAATATATGTAATCTTCACAGTCACATTTTTGACTCATATTAAATGGTTAACCCGGTCGATTGGTGCGTAATATAAATTGATATCAGATATGTCTACTTACTAGTATGGAAAAGAAAAAAATAAATGTACAAAAATTAAAAATAAGAAATGTACACCATAAACAATTAAATGTCATAATGATTGTATAAATAAGCTGAGTAAAAAGAAACTTTTTTTTAATAAGGGCACTTAAAAGTATCATATCTTATAATCCTGATTTTTTACTCTGAAATTAACATTTTTTTTTTTTGTTTTTTGCAGATGTATACTCTACTTATATCATGGTTACAACAGCAAAATCCATCATAAAGGCATCAAACAGCTAGGCCATTATATGTAATCTTATTATAACTTTATATGAATTTATGTATACTTATTTGTACATTCATTACAACTCACATTTTCGCTTTGTTTTTTGCAGAAATATAACATACTTAAATCATGGATATCAAAGCAAACAGAAAATCAGTAAAAAGGACTACCATTATATAGAAATGATCATCAACGAGATGTATGCGAGTCTGCTAAGTATGTTTGATGCCTTTATTGAATCCGCTCCCCAACTGCTTCTACAGATCTACCTCATTCTCAAAGAACAAGAGAATTTCAAAGACTGCGAACATATATCGATTTATAGTTGTAAGTTTTTTCCTCATTTATTTTATGAAAGCTTCAAATTAACCCCCCGGCCCGTACCGCACATTTAAAATTAACAACATACATGTATGATAGCAACTTTAAGATAACGCAGTCGTTCAGAAGCCATTTAGTCAGCTGTCACTTTAACAGAAAATATTTTGATGCCCCCTTAATCGAAGTTTCGGGGGTATATATTTTTTGTCCTGTCCGTCCGTCTGTCTGTGTAGCTGTTTGTCCACAACCACTTACATGTGTATTCCTTGTGACAAAACTTTCTTTGGGTACCACCATATTTGATCTTTTGACATGGACCTTGGAGTTTGACCCACTCTTTAATAAAAATTCCCAACTTTTCTTTGCCATATCTTTTGATACCAGGACTTTTATACTTCAAACATGTATTCGTTGTCGCAAGACCTTTCATAGGATACCACCAACCTTGACCTTTTGACCTTGACCTTGTAGATTTAGAACTGTACTTTTGCAGCACAGTTAATATTACAAAAAGGGGACAGAGCCTTATTTGTACGGGAAAACTTAACTATGACATCACTCAAAACTAACGATTCTTAAAAATACAATAAAATAAGGTGATTTGCTATTTTGATCTGGAAGAAACCATCAAACTACATCAAAACTTACTTCAGCATGCTGTTTTGTCATTAGCTTAACACCCAATTTTACGTTAACACCCCCAAATCTACCTGATTCAAGATCAATGATTTACCACTTGTCAATCATAAAACATAGATTCTAATTTCTGATTAACAAACCAGCTAGCTATGCTTCCTGATAATCTGAGTTTACTGTTTGTTTTGAATACAAATGCCTGGTCGAGCATCAAACACTTTCATGTACCCGCCTTCTACACACGCGGGTAAAAATACCCGGTAAGAAACTTATTGGGTTTTTTAAAATCAATTTAGAGTAGATAATTAAAACATGACTTCTTAACTTAAATTATTTGTTTTCAATATCAACGGTCGTATAGTGTTTTAGGCGATGTGTCGTCCAAAATATCTGTTGTAGAATTTATGCCGTCCATGTACAGAAATTTTATTTGCCGATTAAAGTTATTAAAAAGGAAATATAATAAATAAGAAAAGATATTTAGCACAAACGGAATTTATATTAAAAAAAAAAAGATCTTTTATCGGAATATCTCATGTTTTATCTTTGTATATACATTGTATGAATACAATCTCCACCATGTTGTAAAGAAATGTCAGAAACATGAGTTTCGAGAATAATTTTTAACTCAGTAATTTTTAGTTAGAATTTCCTAACGTCGGTCTATATTCGAAATGAAAAATTAAAGATAACAAACAAATATCAATTCTTAAAGAAATTTCGAAAACAAAAAAATTTAACACACGAATACTCGGGAATGGTGAACACTTTCGGCAATATAGTTGGTCAGAACGTAAATATATTCCTATTATGGGACGCCAATTTCACAAAATTGAACTAAACATAGTTTCACAGTTGATAAACTAGGTTTATTGAATGTAAAGTATAGTTTAAAAAACGTGAACTATAGTTAACAACTCGTTAGCTATATAGTTTTCATCTGTAAAACCATATTTAACTGTTTTTAACTACAGTTAATACGAATGATAATCTAAGTTTATCTGTCCGTAATAAAACGTTATCAATAGATTTTGTTGATAAACATGGATTCACGTCTGTTAACTATAATTTACAATCGTTAACTATAGCTGAAAGTTTCACAAATCGTGAAACTATATTCATCAGATCGTTAACTATAGTTAAGAGTTGAAAACCATAAACCATACAATTTGTCAAATTGTCTTTATCAGATAATCTATGTTTTGCTATCGCAAATGATTGTTTTCAGTGTTAAGTATAGTGTACGGTTCTGAAACATAGATTATCGCGATAACTATGGTTTATAGATGTAAAATATAGATTAACTTTGTTAACTGTATTTTACAGTCCGTAAACTATAGTTTACAACCGATAATTTAAACCTAGTTTATCGACTGTGAAATTATGTTTAGCTCATATCTGTGAATTTGGCGTGCCATATCCTATCGTTTTTCATTAAATTTACACACGACGAATATAGGCCTATAAATGAACTATTTTATAATTTTTCATTTTAATTTAAACCTTAATTTTTTTTAAAAAATATGATAACTACTAAGTTAGTATTTTCAATCTGTATTCTTTTCTTTCATTTTACTCTTTTTGAAACATTAAACGATATCTCTTTATAATTTTTTTTCTTCAATATATATTGATAAAAGTGTTCATTTATAAATTTTATATTGAAATATTTCAATTATTTCAAATAGTTTCACTCAAAATTAGACACGAAATACGGAATGTTGACACTGCATGATTACCAAATACAGACTTCAGGACTGTGTAATGCTAAGTGTATATTATACACTTATCCACTGGTTGTGAGTGGGATAGCTCTTTTATCAAATCCGCGAAGGGAATTATTCCCCGAAGGCTTGCCTCTTATCTGTACTGCGTATGAAAAAAATTGGTGTCTGTTGATTTTGCAAACGAGTCTGATAATTTTGTTTTAAGGTTGTCTGTTTTGTATTTTAGTATGTTTATAAAATAAGTTTTAAGTTTTGCATTAGTGTCTTTTACCCTTTCCGCCACCCATACAAATCAAGCATGCTAAGTGTCTAGTTATGATGAGCAATGGTGCCTCTTTTAAAATTTTGATTGTCATGACATCTGATTTAAAGTAGGAACCAAATTCAATGTTTGAAAAGTTGTTGCATGATGCTCAGGTGACATATAAGGTCAATGAGCCTCTTATTTATTTGATTTTAGATGCAGCATACTAGAATTACAGTTTTCTTTGTTAATTTCAGACATAATTCGACTGTTTGCAGTTCTCACCTCTTGGATATCTGTCACGTGGTCTGTGACTGCTTTTTATCGAGCTCATCGTGTGACCAATGATATGCACAAAACCAGGCAAAAAACAGTCTTTGCTGCAATGGGATATTTCCTCTGGAGAGCGTTTGAAATAGGATCACGAGTAATGGCATTAGTAATGATTTTTCTCATGAACGGTATCATATTTGCAATGGCAGTAGTCATTCATTGGATTGTTATGGTCATTTTCTCATTTGCGACAAAAACGAGACCATACGAGAAAAACCACCAAAACGTTATCTTTATTCTATTCGTTGGATTCGTTCAGATTTTTTCTTTCATGAATGCCAGTCGCTTTAAATTTCCATATCATACTGTGGACGACAATCATGCTGAGGAAGTCAATCCCCTTGAATCTTCAGATCATGCTGAGGAAGTCAATCCCCATGACAAATGCTATCCCACTGAACCTCGACATCATGCCCTTTTATATTATTTGTTTGTTTACACTGAAAATATTGTCATACTCATTGTATGGATTTTGGTTAAAAATAATTCCTTTTGTCCGTGGATTTATCACGGGTCAATTGGCATTGTTTCTAGTGGACTTATTTGTAATATAGTTTTTATGATATCATATTATAAGCTATGTCACCCAACAATATCCATTTTTAGGTGACCTGAGTAAAACTCAGGTGCCCTATTGCTATCTCTTTCCGTCCGTCGTCGTTAGTCGAACGTCGTTCGTACACTTTTGAACATTTTTAGCTTCTTCTCTGGAACCACGGAACCAATTTCAACCAAATTTGGTACAAAGCATCTATGGATGAAGGAGAACAAAAATTGTGAATTTCGTGGTCCCTTATCCCTTGGGGCCTGAGGGGTGGGACCAAAACCACTAAATTCATGCAATCTTTAAAAATCTTCTTCTTTACTCCTGGACATCAAGCAGTCAAATTGTTTGCCTGATTGTAATCAGCTTTGAGTCGTCTATAAAAATTGCGAAATTCATGACCCTGGGGACGAGGCTCTAGTGCTAGGGCGGGGCTAAATAGATTATATAGTGAAAATACATTATTTCTTTGAAAAATCTTCTTCTCTGCTCCTCGGCATAAAATAAACTAAGTAAGTACATAGTTATGATGAACAAGAGTGCCTCTTCCATAATTGTGAATTTTATGGTCCCTGGGTCAGGGGTTCTGGCCTGGGGGCCATAAAACTTAGACGAGCTCACTTTTGATCTCAGTCTCACTTTTTCCAAAGGAATATATAGTGGAAAAGTGAGACTGAGATCAAAAGTGAGCTCGTCTAGTTTTTATGGCCCCCAGTCCAGGTGCTAGGGCTATATCAATTGTATAGTGAAAATGCATTATTTCTTTGAAAATCTTCTTCTCTGCTCCTGGGTATAAAGTAAAATAGCTAAGTACATACATGTAGTTATGATGAGCAAGAGTGCCTTTTCCAAAATTGTGAATTTTATGGCACCAGGGTCAGTGTTTCAGATGTTAGGATGGGGCTCTATTGATCATATAGTGAAAATGCACTAATTCTTTGAAAATCTTCTTCTCTGCTCTAGGGTATTAAGTTAACTAGCTAATTACATAGTTATGGTGAGCAAGAGTGCCTCTTCCAAAATTGTGAATTTTATGGGTCAGGGGTTCTGGTGTTAGGGTGGAGCTCTATTGATTATGTGGTGAAAATGCATTAATTCTTTAAAATTCTTCTCCTCTGCTCCTGGGTATTAAATAAATAACTAAGTACATAGCTATGATGAGCAAGAGTGCCTCTTCCAAAATTGTGAAATTTATGGCCCCGGGTCAGTGTTTCAGATGTTGGGGGGCTCTAATGATTATATAGTGAAAATACATTAATTCTTTCAAAATATCCTTCTCAGCTCCTGGGTTTAAAATAAACTAACTTAGTACAGTGTATATAGTTATATTGCCTCAACCAAATTTGTGATTTTCATGGCCCCTGTGTCAGGGGATTTGCCATTTGGTTTACAGAGGATGGGCTCTATTAATTATATAGTAAAATACATTAATTCTCTGAAAATTGTTTCCTTGGTATACCTGGGTATTATGCGAATGATCCAAGTATATATAGTTACATGTATGATTAGCAAGTCAGTGCCACTTCCAAACTGATTAATTTTAAGCCCCCTCGGTCAGGGGTATCAGGGGAGGGGAACATAGTCTGAAAATAAATTTATGCTTGAAATCTGCTCTTTGGTATTTATCTACCATTTATGATGAAATAAAATTTATGATAAAATTTCCAAAATTTTGAAATATGTGGGCCCATGGTCAGTGGTATCTTTGGGGTGGGTTGCACAACTGGTTTTAAAGTGGAAGTGCATTTTCTATTTGTTATTCTGATCTACCTCTGGGTATTAAGTAAATAGAGTAAGCATGCTTAGTTTATAATTATGATAAGCAATGATGCCTTTTTTTAAAATTTTGAATTTCATGGCCTCTGGTTTAAAACATGAACCAAATTCAATTTTTGGAAAGTTGTTACATGATACTCAGGTGACCTATAAGGCCCGTGGGCCTCTTGTTGTTGAATAAATGTTATAGAAGGTACGGTATTTTTTCCTTTGCTTCATTTACCCAGAGAGATCTGTCGTGCTTTTATAAATCGCTTGAATTTACTCAGGTGTCGCTTTCCAAGATATAAGTTTAAGGTATTGAAGTGAAAATTCTTATTCATAACTTGTTTATTTGATGCCATTAACCTTTTTAAGATATTCTATATATGTTAGTTAAAGCAAATGAATGCATTAGTAGAGAGATTAAAGACTTTAAAATTAATACCATTAGACTTATGAAAAAGTTAGCTAAATTATCGAAGATATATCTATATAGGTCTAAATATTATGATACCTTAAATAACTCAAACTAAATAAAAAGTTTATAAAACACGTGTCTTTGTATTCAAACAACTTGTTGCGGAGTACATACCTCCGAAAATTAGACAGTCAAAATTTAACAAAGACAAGTATGGCCAAAAACATAACAAATTTAGCTTTAGATTTATGAAAATAAAAAAAAAATATTATTTGCCAAGAAATTACTTTCAAGATTTTCCCTGTAAAAATTATTTTAAAACTTATGTTGAAGCTGCCCACTGCATTCAGAAGAAAAAAATCAAAAAAATTTTTGATGTTGATTAAAATTTTCAACTTACCTGTTTACCTGTAATTTTTTTGTAAGATATATTTAATATTCAAGCTAAGGTTAACTGAAACACTTATTTTTGGGAGTTGAACTATGTTCAATCTCCCATGGCCATCACGCATTTAACATGCACAGTAATTTGTGATGATTATATAGAGCCGAAAGCGAGGTTACTGTGTCGACCAATTTACTCCGATGATATTCAACAGAAAACATGCATAAACATCCGCCACAAATAGTGCTTGTCATTTTCTCCTGAATGCATCTAATTTTTATAATTTGAAATGTAAGTAAATGTAATGATAAAGTAATCTGATTTTGAATATTAGATCTCGTTCAAAGTAACACTACTGTGAAATCACTAATTTTCGTGGGGGTTTAATTTTCGTTGTTTTCGTGGTATAAAGAGACCCACGAATTTATGTCCACCACGAAATGTAAATTTTCATATGCACAACTACTACAAAGTTCTTCATCCACGAAATCAAATCCCCACGAACCAACATTTTTTTTCTCAATCCACGAAAATTTGACCCCACGAAAATATGTGATTTTACAGTAAATTATAAGGAACGGGGCATGCATGTCCTATGCACCTATTTCTAGTTAATTTCAAATATACCAAAAAAACTTGCCGATACCTCATTTTTTTTTAAATTAAACATCTTGTATATGCACAATGACACTTTAATCGACAAGAAAATATTGTAAGTCGTTTTAATTCCACGCGTTAAAATTTCACGATTTCTCAAAAACTACAAATCGCAATGGTTTTAATTTCATGCTGCAAGAAATTAATATGAATTTCGTATAAGCATTTAAATGTTTCTAAAACAAATTAAAGCATTCACGATGGATTTAATTTCGCGGAAAAATATAAATCTCGAACATAGTGAAATTAAGTTCACCTTTATCTTAATTCTAAAATAATCATTTTGATAGACATGTGATAACCATGGTGTATAAAATTTAAAAATTTGACGAGACTTACCTTGGTTAAAGAGGCTGGGGGGTGGCAGCCATTTTTAGACTATTTCAATCTCCTTTAAAAGGAGAACTCCATATAAAAATATACAAAAATGATCAAATTTTAAATCTAAAATGTATGAATTTTTTCCTTTGCCAAATGATAGTTGATAGCTAAAGATACCGTACCTAAAAAAATAAGTTAAATCTGGTGGTTAATTTGTGATTAATTTGTTGACCCACCAGCCTCCTTAAGTCGAAGTCTGACTGTAATTCTGTTACGAATTTGGCATTCACCACTTTTGTTATGAATAAGTATAAACAAGATGTTTCTTGTGATATGAGTCGTTAAAATAATGATTCGATGAATGATTGGATGAATGATATGTATTGACATTTATTCTTACTTACTTGTTATTATTGATTAATGTTATTTGAGATTTATTATGAGCTAGGTGCAAAGTGGTTACCTGGCTCCGAATTTCCTCCACGTTTTGAGGGATACGTAATGTAAACACACCATTAATTGGTGTTCAAATGCAATTATATAGTACTGAATGTGCTTACCTTTTATAATATTGATAAATAATAAATCCATTCATTGATAATTAGGTTAAAACGTTATAATTACACTCTGTTTTTCATACTTAGCGGCAAAACCTTTCAAGTACATTCGGAACACCTCTGATGAGTAAAATAGTTAAGTGCATCCGAAGTTTTCCAGCTATTTGAGTTATGGCGCCAAATCTCATGCATTGATCTAGTGACTGACGTCATAACGGGTGTAAAGGCTTTATATACGAGCTCCCAGCGTCTAACGGTCAGACGCCTGCGGTCTCACCCACGGAAAGGTATAACTGACAAACCAACTCCGAACAAGGCAGTCTCCCCATCACAAAGGGTTCTGTTTTAGACAGAGAGACAAACAAATTGTCATGATGGGTAATTATTAACCTGAAATTGTAAGCAACGTTTGATTGCTTTATTAGTTTAACGAGTTTTTACTCAGACACAAATAGTGATCTGGACTCGTCATTGTTTATTGTTGAATAATATTTACTAAGGCACAAGAAGTGACCTGAGCTTGATATTTATAATTCCTGACATTATTACTAACAAATGCATGGTGCATATTGTATTGAGTTTTATGGAGATTTTAGCATAACTTTTTGTCCCTATACAATTAGTTGTTTGCTGTAACTTTTGGATATTAACACATGCTAGACGCATTGTATTGAGAAATTAGCATAACTTTTTGTTCCTATATAATTAGTTGTTTGCTATTACCTGACATTTTATATTCATACTCACTAAGTGAAGAAATCACTAGTTCAACCTTGATTCAAGACCTGAAGATATTAGGTCTATTTGTGTTTACTAAAGGGTTTGTTTAAGGGATGGTTTTTAAATTAACATCTGTTGGAAAGGGTGGTTGGTTTGTCTTTATTTCAGGTGAGGACCACAGAGCCAGAGAAGAGTATTTTTGTACATTTATTTGAATAAAATCTAATAAAATATTAAAAACAAATTATATCCTGTTGTCTTTGGTTCAACATTCAGATTAAGGAGCCCCACAATGTTACGCCGCTAAACATAGACAGCCGTAAGTCGTAAAAATTTTATGAGTCATTATAATTACTGTAGGGATTATGTGAGATAGTATTACGCATGTGCAACCTCAGTTTTCAAATTAAAACATTTGGTCATAATGTAATCATATTGAATATAATTACCTTACTAATATTACTTTATGCATTATTGGTTTGATATCTATGAATATCGGAATAATTGTGTAGGGAGTGGTGGGAGGCACATAATCCTTACAGTAATTATAATGACTCATAGAATTACAGTCTGACTTCGACTTAACCAAGGTAAGTCTCGTCAAATTTTTAAATTCTATTTCGTCATAATTACTTCCGGAATTATGTGAGACTTCAAAGCCCATTATGATCAAATGTTTCAAAACACAAGAAAAATTACTTGATCATAATACTATTTTACTTACTGAGAAGTCTCCCACTCTAATTTTTCTTTGAAAGTAAACCTGACGCAAAACTTTCATTTTCAACAATGATGTCTTTTTCGTAGAATTTGGAAATTGTTCTAGCATTAGTCAATCCAGCCTTCTTTAAAATTTCATCTACTGGCACATCTACTGATTTCGCTTTTGACACTGAAGCAGACCTTAGACCTTACACTATGGGATCCAAATACATCTGTATTAACACCAGAAAGTTTCATCACCATTTTTATCCATCTAGACACTGTGTCTCTTGTTAGCGCCTTATGAGGTTTAACATAACTTAACAAAGGTGATTGTTCTCCATTTCTAATAGGTGCTGTCTTTGATAAATATTCCTTCACCACAACATATATACAAAGTCTCCTATCTGGAGGATGCGCTTTCATATGTACAACAGGCATTTTATACCCCGGTCTACATTGCTTTAGCAATCCAGAGTATTCAAATATATATTCATTAAAACACTTTCTCATGTTATTTACAGAAATAAGATGAATTGACTGAGCTCGTGCAGCATTTGTCAAAGCAATTAACATTAGAAGTTTCAATGTTAACTGTTTCAAACTTAAATTCTTTACAGACCATTTCTTCAACAGTCGTAAAACTAAGGATACATTCCATTTTCCAGAATATCTGGGTTTAGTTTGTCTAATATTATAAACACCTTTCATATATCTGATAACAAGAGCATGGGATCCAACGCTGGTTCCATCTAACTTTATGACCAAAGCTGATAAAGCCCCTCGAGCTGTATTGAGAGAGCTGTAACTCAGTCCATTATCAAAAAGTAAAGCCAAGAATTCCAAAATATTGTTTACAGATGGTGAAATTGGATCAATTTTCCATTCAAAGCAGTACTGAAACCATCTTTTAATGAACGTTTGATACTGTTTTTTAGTACCGGTTCTCCATGATGCCATAATAATGGAGGTAGTTGTTCTTGTAAATCCAAGATTTCTGTAAGTTCGCCGGACACTTGGCATGCAATCAAGGTCATTTTTTCCCACAAAGGATGAACCTCTTTTTTGTGAGGGTTTAGAAGTAGATCCTTCTTTCTCGGAAGTAAAATTGGATTCTTGACTATACTTTTCATTAATCCCATGAACCAAGTCTGAGTGGGCCATAATGGGGCAATGATAATCCCTCTTGCCTGGTCTTCCTGAATCTTTTTGATGCATTAGCCCATCAGACTTAAAGGTGGAAAAATATAAAGATAATCAAAATCTCTCCAATTCACTGAAAATGCATCAACATAACTACATTCTGGATCTTGATTCCATGAGCAAACACTTCACCTTGTGTATTAAGTCTTAATGCAAACAAATCTATATCTTGAAACACTAGCTTTGAATAAATTTGTAAGAATATATCATGATCTAATTGCCACTCAACTTGATCATTAAACTCTCTGGATAATTTGTATGCTTCTAAATTATTTTTCCCTGGAATATGAGAACACTTCAACCAAATATTTCTCTCAATGCACCATTCCCATATTTCCAAAGCAAGTTTATTGCACATTTCAGATTTTATACCACCCATATTATTAATATAACTAATGGCAGTAGTATTATCTGATAATATTCTTACATATTTGTTTTTCACAATATTCACAAAAGATCTCAAAGCAACGTAAATTGCAAGCATTTCCAAGTAATTTATGTGATTTGATTTTTCTTCTTCTTTCCATCTTACACCAGTTTTGATATTATCTTGTGTACATATTACTCCCCAACCTGACAAAGATGCATCAGCTTGAATGGTAATCTCTGGGTTACCTCTAGAAATAAATCTGATTTGAGAATGAATATTGAAACACCACCAATTTAGCTCTCTTTTCATTCCCATAGTAATTGGCATTAATGAATCAAAATTCCCTTTAGTTTCTTTTAGATGCTTTATTTTCTCTTTTTCTAGCAATCTGTAATGTAATTGTCCCAATTCTGAAGCTGAAAAACTCGAAATAATCAGTCCAATGAATTGAGCTACAGTTCTTATCTTTGCTTGATCTTGATTCATTAAACACTTACATTCTTCATAAATAATGTCTTTCTTCTCCTCGGTCAGTTCAATAATCATTCTCTCACAATTCATTCTGTTTCCCAAGAATGTAATACATTTTTTAGGTTCGAATTGACTTTTCTTTCTGTGAATCACAAAACCAAATTTCTCAAGATATTCTCTTGTAATGTTCACATTCATTCTGCACTCATCAATTGTATCTCCAAACAGT